ATTGCTTGAGCCCACAAGTTCAAGACCAGCCTTGGCAACATACTGAGACCCTCCCATCTCTACTAAAAATACAAAAATTTGAGCCAGGCATGGTGGCAGGCACCTGTAATCCCAGTTACTCGGGAAGCTGAGGCAGGAGAATCGATTGAACCCAGGAGGTGGAGGTTGCAGTGAGCCGAGATCACGCCACTGCACTCTAGCCTGGGCGACATAGTAAGACCCTGTCTCTATAAAAAAATGTAGAAGCCAAATTTGCTACCAAAGTATACAACTTTAACTTTTAACTAGGGTTTCCATGTCTTTGTCTTATTAAAGCAAATTTTTTAAAAAGCAAAATGTTTTTATTTAAGGACTTTTTTTTTTCTTCCCAAACAATCCTTATCTCCAGGCAGAAAAAAGAATGTTGTTTGTATTGACCTATACATTGATTTAAATGGTTAACTAGCAGTTTAGCTGACAGGAATGAAAAATAGAAAAAAAAAAGTCTATCATATGAAGCACATTATTTGAACAAAAGAAATTCTTTCTATTGTATTAAATAACCAATTACCTGCTTCCATCTAACTTGTCTTCTTATTAACAAAGGCAAAAATGAAATACTAGGCACATCTGGGAGGCACACAAAGCTCATAAAACAGAAGTGCTTGGGCAACCAGGATAAGAGGTGACATTTTCTAGGATGAGCTTTTGTTGGTGTGGTATCACCTCATCGAGTTGGCAGGTCCATTAATCAAGCGACACTAGCATCCAACCAGCTGAAAAGACGGGCCTGAATTGCTGAGTATTCATTACAGGAAAAATAACTCTTATAAAAACCTGTAGGCAGAGAAGACTTATCAACAAAAAACGAGGTAATGACTACAGCATCTGTGGATGTACAGAATTTACAAATGGAATTTCAGGATGAAATGGGGAAGTGGCGGGGGCGTGGGGAAAGGAGGGCACATTTACATTTCAATGAGTGCGAGTTCAGAAGATAATTTTTCACGTTAATGTAATATACTTTAAATCACGAGGCATGAAATGAATTGCAGGTGTTTTCTTTGCCAAGGTTTTATGATGAAGCTGATGGCTTTGCGTTGGGCTAATGGATCACCTCCTGAAGTACTTTGGTTACCTATTTAAGCATTATTCTAATTAAAAATTATTATTTGTTTAAAATTTGTTTTTTGGCCAGGTGCGATGGCTCATGCCTGTAATCCCAACACTTTGGGAGGGCAGGATTGCTTGAGCCCACAAGTTTGAGACCAGCCTGGGCAACATGTACTAAGGCTCCATCTCTACAAAACATACAAAAATTAGCCAGGCTTGTTGGCACACACCTGCAGTCCCAGCTACTCAGAAGGCTGAGCTAAGAGGATATCTTGAGCCCTTGAGCCTGGGAGGTAGAGGCTGTAGTGAGCTGCGATCACGACACTACACTCCAGCCTGGGTAACAGAGTAAAACCCTGTCTCAAAAAAAAAAAAAAAAAAAAAAAAGTTTGTTTTTCAGCTCTGTATGTTTGAAATGCTTTTGAATTTTTCAGATAAAATTGAGTTTATCCAAATGAAACGTATCATTCTTTATGTAACTGTATCAGCCGTAAAAGAGATGCATCTGTAAGCTTACAGGTTGAGGCATATAGTTAATAGCAGGTAAAATAGAAAAATCAGGCACAGGCCTGTCTCATGAGTCTATCACCCATAACTCCCTACATTCTTTCATGTTTGTTAGTGTCTGAAATGCACCTGCCCAGCAAGTCATCGTTTTCCTTCAAAGCTTTGGAGACTTTCCTTCAAAGTCTCCAAAACCCAACCGTTGGATTCTGACTCCAGGCAAAAATAAAAATAAAAATTGCTGACTTGCTTTTTCCCTCTGCAGTTTCTTCCTCTTTCAAACACTTCTAGGTTATAAATGTGCCAAGAGAGAAATCACCTGGAGGCGCTGTGTGTTATCAGACCTCGTTTTCCTTTTGTTGTATGCACATTCTTGTCAGTACAAGTGGCCTTATTTTGGGTTTGGAAAATATGGCACTGCAGTGAAATGGTCCAGTTTCAGGTTTATACTCTCTGTGTTCTTGGGGTTATGCAATAATCATTACTGCATATATAATGTATCAGTCAATAAATGGTTACACAGATTCCATTAGACTCCAAAGAGGTGTGATGAGTAAGAACAGGTTTATAAGGTAATGTACATGCAGACATAGGTTATTACGACTTGCAAATGTAATTATGCATTACAATGGAATCTCACTTTAGAAATGGCCTAAATGTAGGACTGATTTCACTTGCCCCCCACTCACAGGCCCTTATTTTATTATTATTATTATTATTATTGTTATTATTATTTGAGATGGAGTCTCGCTCTGTCGCTCAGGCTGGAGTGCAGTGGCATAATCTCGGCTCACTGCAACCTCTGCCTCCTGGGTTCAAGCAATTCTCCTGTCTCAGTCTCCCTAGTAGCTGGGACAACAGGCATGTGCCACTGTGCCCAGCTAATTTTTGTATTTTTAGTAGAGACGGGGTTTCATCATATTGGTCAGTCTGGTCTCGAACTCCTGACCTCAGGTGACCCACCCACCTTGGCCTCCCAAAGCGCTGGGATTACAGGCGTGAGCCACCGCGCCCAGCCTATTTTATTATTATTATTTTGAGATAGTGTCTTATTCTGTCACCAAGCCTGGAGTGCAATGGTGCAATCATAGCTCACTATAGCCTCACCCTCCTGCGCTGAAGCGATCTTCCCACCTCAGCCTTCTGAGTAGCTGGAACTACAGGTGCACACCACCATGCCTGGCTAATTTAAAAAAATAATAATAATATGGAAATGTGGTCTTGCTTTGTTGTCCAGGCTGGTCTCAAATTCCTGGCTTCAAGCGATCCTCCCACCTGAGCCTCTCAAAGTTCTGGGACTACAGTCATGAGCCACCATAGCTGGCCTAAGGACCCTTATTGCTCCAAGTATCTAGAAAGTACCTACCCCTTTACATGTGTGCTTTGTCCAGAAAATGGTCTCAGGACAGCCCTGGGGACAGATTATAGCAAAATCTCAACATAGTTTCCGTTACTCAATGCTCAATTGTTTCTTTACCTTTTGTCATTTGTTCAGTTGATTTGTTGATTCTTGTTTTTTGGCAACTAGAAAGTCATTTAGCAAAAATATTAGGTGAATAAAAATGTGTAGGTCTGTAGGTTTTAAAGAAAAGAATGTGGACACTAGTATTTTATTACTGTTTTGCTGCTTCTCTCAGAATTATCCTTATTTCCTATAGTGTTAATTAGTCATATTTTGGTCTTATTATACTCCAATAAAGGTAAAGAGGTTGAACTCGGGGCTCACACCTGTAATTCCAGCATTTTGGGAGGCCAAGGTGGGAGAATCGCTTGAGGCCATGGGTTCAAGACCAGCCTGGGCAAAACATAGTGAGACCTCCCCCACCCCAATCTCTATTGAAAAAAAGAATTTTTTTTTTTTTTTTTGAGACAGTCTCGCTGTGTCACCCAGGCTGGAGTGCAGTGGCAGGATCTCGGCTCACTGCAACCTCCATTTCCCGGGGTAAGAGTCTCCTACCTCAGCCTCCTGAGTAGCTGGGATTATAGGCACACACCACCATGTCCAGCTAATTTTTGTATTTTTAGTAGAGATGGGGTTTCACCATGCTGGCCAGGCTGGTCTCAAACTCCTGACCTCATGATCCACCTGCCTCAGCCTCCAAAAATGCTGAGATTTACAGGCGTGAGCCACCGTGCCTGGCTGAAAATTTTAAAATTAGCTGGGCATGGTGGCACATCCCTGTAGTCCTCGCTACTCAGGAGGCTGAGGTGGGAGAATCGCTTGAACCCAGGGGTTCGAGGTTGCAGTGAGCCATGATCATGGTACTGCACTCCAGCCTGGACAACAGAGCAAGACCCTGTCTCAAATAAATAAATAAGAAGAAATTTGAAAAATACATATTCTTAATAAATTTGTGGTTTTATTGAGTTATTAGAGTCCCATGCCAGAGGCCCTTCAAAAGCACATGTCCTCCCAAGAAAAATATTTAATTACAATAACAAGCAGTAAATTGATAAAAGAACCAGAGGGCCAGGGTACACAGGAATTGTTTTATTGCTTTTTCCATGTCTCAGGCATTCTATAATTGTCTACTTCATCCATGTTCTGAAGCTAATTAGTTATTCCATCCCCAGGATAAAGTTAGGCCTCTTAGTTTAACTTCGTATTTGCAGGTTTGACCTAATTCCTTGCCAGCTCATAATATAATTAAGGTTGGCATTCCTTCTCTTATCCGCCCTCCCCACTCCGCGGCCTTCCCTCCCAGCTGTGTGCCTGTTTATCACTAGATGGTGCTAAGACTTGGGTTATAGCTGCCAGAGACTCCAGGAAAGTTGTTCGGGAGCCAAGCAGGCTGGAATTTGAGAACTGGAAGATGCCTTCAGAGCTCATCCGGGGAGCACTTTTGTTTTACAAATGAGGAAACAGAAACTCAGTGAAAATGAGTAATTTGTCAGAGCCCCAGAGATCTCTCCCCTCCTTTTTTTTTTTCTCTCTTTCTTATCTGTTAATAGCTTCCAGTGTTACCTCCTCACCCAGGAAGGAGCACAGCTCAGAGAGCAACAAGGTCAGAGTTGCTTTGCAGAAAGCATTTTGGCAGTTACATGGTACCATTCATTGATTGATTGATTCATTCCAAAAGCAGTTATTGGGTACCTACTTTTTGCTTTGCATGGTGCTAGATGTTGGGAATAAAAATCAGATGAGAATTCCTAGGATTCTAGGAATTCACATTCTTTTAGGAAATTCAGAAATGCAAAAAAAAAAAAGAAAAAAGAAAAAAAGAAAAATCACCCCCTAAATCAAAGATGCTATAATAGAGGTGATTATAGGACACTCTGGTCACTTGGAGGAGTTTGCAGCCAGCTGCATTCGTAATTCAAAGGGAAGATTTTGGTGAACTAACATTGGAGGCTGAAGGGCACATCGGATCTTGTAGGCAGAGGAACAGGAGGAAGGGCAGTCCGGGCAGAGAGCATCATGGGGGAAGGCTTGGAGAGCTAGTGAGGCTTGCTGGAGAAAGCAGCTGATTGTAGCTAATGACCAAAGGGCAGGGTCAAAGGGGCAGGTGGTAATCTGGGAAGGAGGGGACAGACTGGAAAATACTTCATCCGAGGTGTCATGCTTAGGAATTTGTACTTTATCCTGAAGGCTACAGGACAACCCAGTAAAGCGTATTGCTCGGAAAATGGCATGGATGGAGTTTCTTTTCAGGAAGAACACTCTGACAGCTGCATGGAAGCCCAGACACCAGGAAAGCCTCAGATTAGAAGCTGGCGTCCCGGAGCAGTGCGAGGTAAGGGCCTGGCTGGGTTGGGGCAGTGGGAATGGGAGGAGGAGACCTGTTGGAGAGAAATTTCAGGAGCAGGACTGACAACATTTTTTGAAAAACAGTGATTGGGATTGTAGCTAATATTCTTAGAAGATGGTTACCCCACTCTGGTATTTGAATTACTTATAAAACATTGAAGGGGTGAAATTTTAATTGAATACACATATTACTTGGATACAATGTTTGAAATTATTTTAAAAATGCAACTTTATGGCAGTATAGTAATCCTCCCTTATCCAGTTTTGCTTTCTGAGGTTTCAGTAACCCTCTTGCCTCACTGCAACCTCTACCTCCCAGGTTCAAGTGATTCTCGTGCCTCAGCCTCCCAAGTAGCTGGGATTACAGGTGCACACCATCACGCCCGGCTGATTTTTGTACTTTTAGTAGAGACAGGGTTTGCCGTGTTGGTTAGGCCCCAAGGTCCAAAAATATTAAATGGAAAATTCCAGAAATAAACAATTCATAAATTCTAAGTTGCATGATGTTCTAAGTAGCTTGATGAAATCTCAGCCAGGCACGGTGGCTCACACCTGTAATCCCAGCACTTTGAGAGACTGAGACGGGAGGATCATTTGAGCTCAGGAGTTTGAGACAGCCTGGGCAAGACCCTGTCTGTACTAAAAAAAAAAAAAAAAAAAAATTAGCCATATGTGGTGGTGTGCACCTGTAGTCCCAGCTATTCAGGACAGAAAATTAAAGAACAATAATAATAATAATGACGCCAAAAAGCTCCCAGGGAGTAGCAGATAAGCCCAGCTGCCAGAATTTGCTTCCGGAAGCTCATCCTTATTCCTTGATGATCTATATATATGACTAGCTAGTACTTCCACTCCTTCAGCTTGAAAATATTTTACCTGTGGGAAACATTATTGTTATTATTTTTATTATTTTGAGGCAGAGTTTCACTCTGTTGCCCAGGCTGGAGTGCAGTGGCACAATCTTGCCTCACTGCAACCTCCACCTCCCAGGTTCAAGTGATTCTCGTGCCACAGCCTCCCAAGTAGCTGGGATTACAGGTGCGCACCATCACGCCCGGCTGATTTTTGTATTTTTAGTAGAGACAGGGTTTTGCCGTGTTGGTTAGGCCAGTCTTGAACTCCTGGCCACAAGTGATCCACCTGCCTCGGCCTCCCAAAGTGCTGGGATTACAGGTGTGAGCTACCGCGCCCGGCCTAGGAAAGATTATTTTGATCACATGGCTCTCTTCTGCTCTTCTGGCCTTCTGGCCCCCAGTACCATGGTGCAAATTGTTTTATGATCATTCCTGGGTAAAGTGGATGCTGGGTCCATGGTCCTTCCTGCCGCCTGCAATACATCCTTGGGAACATCCAGACCAGCCATTTGCCCTGGTCAGCATTGTTTCATTTATGAGATTGGTAATTAACAAATTAATTATCTAAGGTTGCGTGGTGAGAGGGGGAAAGACATTGAGATAGAAGGTTAATAGTGTCAGAGATGTCCTGACCAGAGAGACTCCATCTTGAATAAAGGCTAAGTAAAGCCAATCCTGCTGGGCAGCATTCCCAGGGGGTTGGCACTGTTGGTCACAAGATATTTATGGTTGAGGGGATGAGTTAATGATGCTAACTTACCAAATAAAGACCCAGAACTTACGGAAACGTCCCAATATTTCAAGAACAAAAAGCATTCTTAGTTTAAGAATAGATTTTACTTTAAAGATAATAGTACACATATAAATTCTTGTGGAAATCAGTAGTAACATAGGAAAATAACAATACTAATAGCCCGTCACAAGCTGATCAAAAGTCTTTGTAATGAAGTATGCTATTCTTAACAACCTATATAAGCAAGCACTATGTTTAAGGTGAGGCATTCTTGGCCAGGCATGGTGGCTCAAGCCTGTAATCCCAGCACTTTGGGAGGCTGAGATGGATGGATCTCTTCAGCTCAGGAGTTGAAGACCAGACTGGCCAACATGAAAAAACCTTGTCTTTACAAAAGATACAAAAATTAGCCAGACATGGTGGTATGTACCTGTAGCTCAGCTACTTGGGAGGCAGAGGTGGAAGGATTGATTGAGCCTAGGAAGTTGAGGCTATAGTAAGCCATGATAGTGCCACTGTACTCCAGCCTCGGTGACAGAGTGAGATCTTGTATCTAAATAAATAAATAAATAAAATTTTTAAAGTAGGGGCATTCCTCCTTTTGCTTTCTGAGGAAGCCCTACTCCATAATAGTCTCTAACAAACTATCTTAACTTCACTGTACTCTGCAACTTGCCCTGAATTCTTTCCCAAGAAAGTGAGATCTAAGAGCCCACTCTTGGAGTCTGGGACAAGACCCATTTTCTGGTAACAGCAATGGTAATGAATGAACATATGTAAGTTAATTATCATTTGGATGTCCAGTTTGATTTTCTTTTTTTAAATTTTTAAAAATTTTTGAGACAGAGTTTCACTCTTGTTGCCCAGGTTGGAGTGCAATGCATGATCTTTGGCTCACTGCAACCTCCTCCTCCCGGGTTCAAGCAATTCTCCTGCCTCAGCCTCCTGAATAGCTGGGATTACAGGCATGTGCCACCATGCCCAGCTAATTTTGTATTTTCAGTAGAGATGGGGTTTCACCATGTTGGTCAGGCTGGTCTTGAACTCCTGACTTCAGGTTATCCACCTGCCTCAGCTTCCCAAAGTGCTGGAATTACAGGTGTGAGCCACTGCCCCAGTTTGATTTTCTAAATTTTACTCTGCCTTTATAGAATTTCCTAGGGAGGAATTAAGGGAGCTCCACCTGCCCCACGTGTTTTTATTTTATTTCATTTTTGAGACAGAGTCTCACTCTGTTGCCCAGGCTGGAGTGCAGTGGCATAATCTCAGCTCTCTGCAACCTCTGCCTCCTGGGTTCAAGCCATCCCTCCTCCTCAGCCTCCTGAGTAGCTGGTACTACAGGCATGCACCACCACACCTGGCTAATTTTTGTATTTTTAGTAGAGACAAGGTTTTACCATGTTGGCCAGGCTGGTCTCGAACTCCTGACCTCAAGTGGTCTGCCTGCCTCAGCCTCCCAAAGTGATGGGATTACAAGTGTGAGTCACTGCACTTGGCCTTGATTTTATTTTAAATGTTTGTGGGGAACATGGAGATGAAACTAATGGTTCCGTTTGTAGTGACCTACACAGTTGCCCTCCCACTGTAACTGGTGTATGACTCCCGCTGGTGTGGGAGAAGTGTTGCCGGTGGGAAATTTCTAAGGCTGATGTAGACAACATAATCTCAGGGTCTGTAGCAGCTCAGCAGGAATGAATGAGCCCCCTGCTGGAGTTTCTGAGAGCTTCGTGAAAACAGCTATAATTAGTATCTCCTTAGTGAGACTCTTTTTATGCTTTAACTAAAGTCATTCATTCCATTTTAACTGCATGAAGCAAATGCTGGAGGAAGGAGGGTGAGGAACATGGCCTTTTCTTAAGTCTAGAAGTGGAAGCAGACAAAATACTCAAGCTGAGAATATACATTAGTAAACTATTTTTGGTGTGTGTCTTTGGTGTAGACATTTCTGGAAAGGCTTGTGTCTCCTCTTTGGGATCAGGCACAATATTATTTTTGCTGCCCACCACAGTGTAAAGTTGTAGGGTAGTCATGGCTTCAAGGAAATCTCTAATCCTCCAGAATAGAAACTGTTCAAATACTTTCTCAAATAAAGAGGTGGATATGGTCCCATGTATTACATTAAGACAAGAAGAATGTAAAAAGTATCTGTTTGCCTTTTTTGTTATAAAACCAAAGAATACTTCATAGAATATTTTTCTTTGCATTTGTCTGTCTTCACATACATAGAAATTAAATTTGTTTTGTGAATTCAATTATGTATTTTCTTTTTTTATTTTTTGAGACAGTCTCACTCTGTTGCCCAGGCTGGAGTACAGTGGTGTGATCTCAGCTCACTGCAGCCTTGACTTCCCAGGTTCAAGCTATTCTCGTGCTTCAGCCTCCTGAGTAGCTGAGATTACAGGCATGTGCCACCATGCCCAGCTAATTTTTTTTTGTATTTTTAGTAGAAACAGGGTTTCACTGTGTTGGCTAGGCTGGTCTTGAACTCCTGACCTCAAGTGATCCGTTCACCTCAGTCTCCCAAAGTTTTGGGATGACAGGTGTGAGCCACTGCACCCAGCCTCAATTATGTAAATTTAAATTTGTTAAGGGAGGGGATGGTTAAAAAAAGGTATGTTTGTGAATTAGTGAGCTATAGAAAGTTAATGACATGCAATTACACACCTGGAGCAGAACTCCAGAGAAAGACAACGCTGGCTGTCATGATGTGCACTTTAATTTTCTATAAATGGTTCATGGACTTTATATTGGATGTCTTTCTGCTATTACTGAAATTAGACAGGAAGAAAAAATCAAAACAAAACAAAAAGCAAAAATAGAACAAAAAACTAAAGTTGGCTTCAGCTATTTCTGTGTTCCGGGGAATGGAAGGCTGCTTCTCCTAGGGGCAAAGTGCTCTGCGCCCGGGAAGACATATAATGGACATTTGGGTTGCAATGAGGCTCTGAGACTAAAAGAAGCTAAATTTCTTTGCTCATTCAGTATCAGGAAAGTTAAAAAAAGAAAGTTATTGCAGCACTATTCATAGTAGCAAAGACTTGGAACCGACCCAAATGCCTATCAATGATAGACTGGATAAAGAAAATGTGGGACCAGGCGCGGTGGCTCATGCCTGTAATCCCAGCACTTTTGGAGGCCGAGGCAGGTGGATCACAGGTCAGAAGATCGAGATCAGCCTGGCCAACATGGTGAAACTCCATCTCTACCAAAAATACAAAAATTAGTCGGGCATGGTGGCGTGCACCAGCTACTCAGGAGGCTAAGGCAGAAGAATTGCTTGAACCAGGGAGGTGGAAGTTGCAGTGAGCCGAGATTGTGCCACTGCACTCCAGTCTGGGCGACAGAGAGAGACTCTGTCTCAAAAAAAAAAAAAAAAAAGAAAGAAAGAAAGAAAAAGAA